TCCTTATAAGGTTGCCTAAAATCTCCCCAAGGCTAGATATTTGGATATTCCCTCATATCCATTGGATATTTCCCTCAGATATTTGGATATCTTAAATCCATGCTACATTTCTAAAGGTGTTGACAGTCCTTCTTTTACACAAAGAAGAAATCCAGGAATGAAAAAAGCATTGGCTGCCAGGGACTTTGGTCCCTCACTTTTGCAGTTGGAATCAGGGCTTCCAAATCCGTAAGAGTTCATTTGGGTGAGTAAATGATTTAAATAAGTCTGAATCAAAGTCAGAAAATGATGTGATACACACAAAAGCAGAAACAAACCTCAAATACATCGTGCTAAGTGAAAGAAGCCTAACTTAAATAACTACATACTACATGAGTCCATTTACTTGATATTCTGGAACATACAAAACTGGAGAGTCAGGAAAAAGCAGTAGTTGATAGGGGCTGGGGGCAGAAAAGATAAGACTACAAAGCGGCATGAAGGAATTCCTGAGATGATGGACTGTTTAACATACTGATTGTAGTGCAGGTTATATACTTGTGTTTATCAAAACTTGTAGTTGTATGCTATACACCAAAAAGGTGAATTTTATTGTATATATCACAAAATGTGACCACAAATCCTGTAGAGAGGAGGAGCTAGATAATGTCTAAGTTCTTTTCTTTCCAAGTCCTACTACTTTATGACATTCTGCCTCTTCCACCCCTGGTGGTTTTAAAGCCACAGTAATTAGGGTAATTAACCTCAGTAATTAACTCTGGGCTCTGATTTCTGTGTGAAAGCAATGAGATCTCCTGACTGAATCATGTGGATATGAGTCCTGCCACCATTCTGGGGCTGCTGGCCGTACTCCAACCTGTGACAGAGGTTCCCTTCCTTTTTTCTCCTATCCTGATTCCTCTTAGGACCAGTGAGGGACTCAATAATTAATAAACAAACCAGAATAAACATCAGGAGACACTGGTTTTATCTCTCTGCACAGGCTTCCTGTCTGGATTCCATTTGATCTTTCCATTAACTTTAAAATCAGGCAATAGAAGAATCATTTAGGAATTCTCTTCCTCCATGGTCTTTTGGGCTTCCACTAGATACTTACACAATTAAGCCATGTAAATGTAAATTAAGCCTCACACAAAATACATATCCAAGCTTGTTGACACTAATATACATATATATGTTTTGTTTTAATACATATACATGCTCCAAGATTACCGATTTATCACATTTTACATAAATAGCTAATTATTCTTATGTATGTACACTAAGGTCATAGATGTGCCATGGCTAGGGAACTCTGAAATAGCTATCAGAATGTTATTTTCTGCTAACAGACTATTCATTATTTTTTTGCTACAAATACAGTCACAGTGGTGGACTGATGTAGGTGTGGTGAACTGATACATCCTCTTACTGAGTCAATTCCTTTCCTGGCTCTTCTTGGAAGTTTTCAATGGAAAAGTTACAAATATCAGTAACCAGATATCTTATCCATATTGAATGCTGGGATAAAAATCAAGGACTAAAACTGGCAATGGCGGTAGTAGTGGGCTCCCCAGTGGCATGCCAGTGTCTCCCAGGCACCATGGCTAGTGGCAGTGCTGGGAAGCCCACTGGTGAGCTAGCTTCTTTGGCTCCTGTGAGCACAGTAGGTGGGGCCAGCTCGCAGCTGCAGAAGATGCTGCTTTTCGGCTGCGACCACTGCAAGGGCAAGATGTGGCTGGTGGCTGACCTGCTATTGCTGTTGAACAAGGCTTAGTAGGTGCTCTTCAAGGGCCCAGCCTCCTCTTGTGATGGTGCAGAGTCCTTTGAGCAGCACCAGGACACCATCAACGCTCACCAAGGCTCTCTCCACTCTCACTCACGATGATGTTCAGAGTCAGCCTTACCCGGGCCTCTTTGGAGAATCCAGGGAAGTCTAGCGGAACTGGGTGACCTGATGGTGTTGCTGACCTAGTGCTCAGCCCAGGCTGCCTATATGGCTGCAGTGGCCACATCAGGCATGCAACCTGCACATCCAAGCCTGGTGGACACTACACACTGCTGCCAAAAGTTGGAGCAGAGCTGCACGGTGCTACCAGCCTCTCCACTGACCAATATGACTCCACAGCTGATGCTGGGGGTGTCAGGGCCAGTTGTGCAACCTCAAATTCCTGAGACACATGCGCCCTGGCCAGTGACAAGTCACTAGAGTGGTTTTGGCAGAAGCAGTTCAAGCTGGGGGTCAAGTGCATGAGTACGAGTGCATTGGCGCTGCTGGCCTGTGTATGGGTAAAGGTGGTACCCAGTAAACTGGCAAGCAGCCACTGCTCACTCTTCATCGGGCCCCTGGTACGCACTGTGAGTGTGCTGGTAGATTTTACCACTGAGCCGCAGTTCCTGGCTCGTGTGGCAGCTGTGAGTGCTGAGGGCAAGGTGATGCAGACCTTTGCCCTGGGTGGTGTCATGACCATGGGGTTGGCCTGCGTGCTTCTGACCCAGTGCCTTAGGGATCTGTTGCAGCACCCTGAAGGGGGCGCCAAGATGTCGGACCACAGAAGAGGCTGAGGAACAGAGCCTGTGCAGTATCTGAAGACTACTGTCCTACTGTCTCAGGTTTTAAGACAGAGGTCTCTTAAAGTATTTTACCACCAGTGAATTCCAATTCTGTGAATTAGCAACCCCACTCCATTCCCCTTCTTCTACCCCCAGGCTAAAGGAATATTTATTCTAAGCCCCTCTCCATTTATACCAAAAAAAGATAGGTGACCCCTCCCCCACACATTAAATGCCCAAAAGGAATCTTCCAGAAGTCAGGGCCAGGCACACAACTCACATGCACGAAAGAGTGTCAAACAGCCCACACAGGAGCGGGGAATAAAAAATGGGTAATCTGCTGGCTGTAGTTTTACTCCTATACCCCACCCGTCTGTCAACTGAATTTTATTATTAATTGGGCAGGAAAAAGGTCAGGGTTCATTTCTTCTTTTTTATTTTAATAAAAAATAAATGCTCTTAAATATGGATGTAGCTATCTTTTTTTTTTGTATGTTGTTATTTTTTAAAGCAGTCGTGTTGAATTAGGAGTATACTTGTGGAAAGAGTATGATTTTGCCATGTGATTTGCAAATGGGAGGAAAGCAAAAATGAGCATGTTTTATTTAATTATTTATTTTTTTGTGGTGCTGGGGATTGAACCCAGGGCCTTGTGCATGCAAGGCAAGCACTCTACTGACTGAGCTATATCCCCAGCCCCAGTGTGTTTTATTTTTTAACTTACACCATAGAGTGATTTTCCCCCCCAATGTCAACTTTTTACCTTGCATGTACTGGAGTATTTATGTTATCTATTAAAATGTTCTGTTTCTTTAAAAAAACAAAATCAAGGGCCATAAGACAAGTGTGAACCTGCCAGTGTCCTCAAGGTCTAAAGGACAGAGAAAACCTGGTAGGGGTTAGGTAATATCTACAGTTTACTTTTCTGCTGAGTATTTACAGCAAACACATTGATACAAAGGCAAGGTGCTCATATTATAACAGAAGGGGCCCAAAGAGACAACAAATCCCATAGTGGGCATAGGGTCTTTTTCTATAGGCTCTCCATAGAAGGGAAGAATGGAGAAATTACACTTCCATGATTTAGAACTATCCAGTCATTATTAGCAGTTTGCATTAGCTGAAAATCAGTACTATTTCCCTTGAGTAATTCAGACTTGATAATATTGTTCCTTTGGCATAATTATAAAAAGTTTCACAAAAGACAAATACTTGGTAGAAAACAGACTCTGACTTTTTATTCAAAGGCTATAGTTGTACAGGTCTCCCCTCAAATTATTACCAATGGTACTTACTAAGAATATATTCCTATAGTGTTTTTTTCTTTAGTATATATAATTATACGAAACCATGAAAGGTCAAATAAATGTTGTCTTTTTAAATTTTAGGGATAGACTTTCACAGTGTACCCTATGGCTGTTGTCTATAGTCATAGAATTGAAAGAGGAAAGGCTTGCTGATCAACATGGGGACTGAATGGAGGCCTTTAACAGTGCTCAAAGCAGTAGCATGTTGCATCTTCCCAGAAACAAAAATGTCCTGTAGACCCACTGCCAGGCTTCCAATTGTCTTAGAAAACTGAGAGGGCCAATAACTATGAGGTACACGAAGAGTGACTAAAAGCTCAGCTGGCAAAGATTTGGCTGGTCCTCCCAATCCTCAGGCAATAGATCAATAGGATTTGCCTCCTATATACCTAGCAGGCTCAAAAACTAGCAGTCTAGCCATTTTCCACTCTGCCTAGGAGCAGAAGTATAATCCTAAGGCTCAAAGATGATACTAGCTTCTTAGATTCTTCAGCCCTTCTACTGCACACAAGTCAAGGCCATGTTTGAGGTGAGTTCCATTCACTTATCATAGGATCATACACCCTCTGAGCTAACTAATATCCACTTAAATCTTGCTGAGGCCCAAGCCTAAAAAGATAAAAGCCAGTTTCCATGTCCTGATCAAGTAGTCTTTTCCCACTTCCTGTGCTCCTTCTGGACCTGATGCCCCTTACCACCATTTCTCAGCCCAAAACACCATTAGTTTCTGACCAAAGTGAAAAATAGCCAGGTCCCATATTCTATGCTAATTTACTACATCCAGTTATGAAGAATTGAGAAGACATACAATGAGATTTCTGCATTTGAAATAAGTTTCTTTTATTAACACTACCTTAGAAATGATTACTTGACAAGGTTAATGGTTTTAGCATGTTTGCTTTAAGCAGTGCTGGGGATCACATCCAGAGCATCTATGCTAGGCAAGCAGTCTATCACTGAGCCACAATTCAAGGCCATCAATGGTCTTTTGATACTGGAGCTTTTTCCTTTTGAAAATTCATCAGTTTGTATTAAAATTTAAAGTACCATTACAATACTTACAATTGGCACAATTATGCCATAAGGACTATGACAAATATCTTTATAATAAACATTTTAAAAGAGAAGGACTAAAGAAAGGAAAGTGACAAATGACATTACCACATCCTGAGATGCATACTGAGGGTCTTCTGGGTTAACTGACCAGTAGCAATAATCAAAGCTGAATGCTACAACCTTCTCCCGGGAGTCTCCAAAGCTATCTGGTCGATCATCCACCTAAAATCAAACATAGAATCCAATGTCTTCTTTACTATAATATCAGACAAAGGCCAGTGGCACTTGATCACTCCATACTATAACTAGAGAGACCTGGACTGGTTGCAGAATATTTATGAAACCTAGTGTCAAAAGAAAAAAATGTAACAGGGCTGAGGGATATAGCTCAGTTGGTAGAGTGCTTGCCTCGCATGCACAAGGCCCTGGGTTCAATCTCCAGCACCACAAAAAAAAAAAAAAAAAAAAAAAAAAAAAAAAAAAAAAGGTAACTTTTATCTTCACTTTAATAGGTACAAATAAAGTCCCACAGAACTAAATCAATGTATCATTCTATCATGTATCTGTTTTAATTAGTAACAACCATAGGAGATACAGGACAGCTTGAGAGAGAAAGTCTCTCCCTCTCCAGGCATCTTCATCACTATCTATGTATCTTCTGTAGAGTAGACTGAGAGCACATGAATAGTAAGTAGTTCTGCCTCTAGACCTGGCAGACTGCACCAAGCTGGAGCTTTTACTGAAGTTCCTGGGTACTCACCCCCAGTGAATTAGAAACCATGTTGGACAGAAGAGATAGGAACAATCCAACTGCCCAAGGAAGACCCAAAGTTGGAACTGCACTGAATTCTGAGTACTGCGGAGAATGCATTACTCACAGAAGTACCTTGTGTTAATGTTTAAAATTCAGACTCTGAACAGGGAAAGAACCTAGCCATCAAAAACCATAGAAGCATCCCTGAATGCAGTGTTTCATGCCTATAATCCCAGAAACTTGGGAGACTGAGGTGAAGAATTGCAAGTTTAAGGCCAGCCTGGACAACGTAGTGAGACCTGTCTCAAAATAAAAATAAAAACTGCTGGGGATCGTCAGTACTTTAAAAAAAAAAAAAAACTGCAGAAGAATGAGGTTATCAGAATGAGTAAGACATTGTTAGTGGACAACTGACCTTAGGGAAATAAGCAGCCAGGGAGGTATTTAGAGGGCAAACTAAAGTTTGATCTTGGATGAGATTTATTCTTCAGAACCAAAAATATGAGATCTTAGAACAAAACAGCTGAAGTGATTAGGCAATAGAGATATAAATAAGAAACAGCAAAGAATAAAATAAAAGGATCTTTGTTTCCAAGGAGCTCATTTTGAAAGTCTGATAGTCCCATTCTCTTTCAGTGGGGAGTTATTGAAAAAGAAAACAGATCACATCACAGAAATGACTGAAGTGGGCATGGTTCTAAAGCCTGGGGTCCAGATAATCCTCACAATTGCCACTCAATGTCCTCAGCTCTTAGGAGTGCTAGCTTCCACTTGCAAGTTGATTATGGTAGTACTCACATGGTTGAGTACTACCATAATGCACTGTCTCTCTCCACTCCTCAAAGTTCACAAAGGGAAGAACCCTTCCATTACCTGCTAGTCTGATAAATAGTGGAAAGGATGGAGGAAATTAACTCTAGGAATGGGTAAGGCAGGGGAAGGAAATTTTCCATATCTGACCAATTGTGACTCAAAGTTTAGTCCGATCTGTGAAAGAAAACCTGTAACAAGACTCAGGGTTGTGAATGACTCCCTTCTGGGATCTGAAGGCTATTACTTGGATCTCAGTATGGCAAAAGTAAATCTTGCATTATCAGGTGTGTTCTAAAATCCCTAATAATGTCTCTTGATAAAATGATATCAGTTGAGAGGCTTGGGACAAAGTCTGACAGGTATGGTGGTGCACACTTGTAATCCCAGAGGCTTGGGAGGCGGAGCAGGAGGATCATGAGTTCAAAGCCAGCCTCAGCAAAAAACGAGGCACTAAGCAACTCAGTGAGACCCTGTCTTTAAATAAATAAAATACAAAATAGGGCTGGGGATGTGGCTCAGTGGTAGAGTGCCCCTAAGTTCAATCCCTAGTACCCACCACTCCACCCCACCCCACCCGCCAAAAACAACTCTGATGGTCAGATGAGTTAAATAGACTTACAGATTGCCCTGGCATGATTTAAGGTAGTCACAGCCTCCATAACATCCTCAGTGTTTATTTTCAAAGCAGTTATCAGTTCCCAAAATAGCTGCATCAAATGTATACATATATACATATACATACACATACATACACACACACACATTTTTTTTTTTCCCTGCCAGTACTTGCGATTGAAAGCAGGGCCTTACACATGCCAGGCAAGTGCTCCACCATGTAGCTACATCCCAGTCCTTTTTATTTATTTTTTAAGTTTTGAGACTGAGTCTTCCTAAGTTGCCAAGGCTAGCCTAGAACTTGCACTTCTCCTGCTTCAGCCTCCTGAGTAGCTAGGTTTACAAGCATGTACCCCCATGCCCACCTCTATTAGCTATGTGATAGAACTTAGGCTGTAGTAACCCACATCCCCTGGCTTTTTTGACTTATTTTAAAATTTGCTTTATGATTGGTCCAGGGTCTTCTTACAATTTTCCTTATATGATCCTCTCTCCCCCTTCTACATACATTCACATATACATTTTCACCCCAGAAGCCCCTGTAATAATTTTAAGACCTCAGTGGAAAGCAAATGGAAAATAATTTCAGGTTTACCTTTAAATTCCTGATCTTTGCCACTTTGTCATCAATTTCCACAATGATTCTTCCCCCTTCTTTGGTCTCCCTTGAAACAAGAACCAAAACCATATGAGAATAAACATTACTTAAAAAAAAAATCATAGAGAAGCTCAGATCAGCACTAGGGGGACAAAATGTTTCCCTATTGCTATAGCCATAAGTCAAGTATCTGTCTCCATAAAAAAGCTATAAGCATCGTATCAAGCATCACAGCATGCTTCTCTAGATCATTACAGTTTAATTCTGGAACAGCTAATAGTCACGACTTATTGCACATACCTATATGTGCAAGGTACTATATTAGGTGCACGATTTATTGTACTTCATCTTATTTATCCTCATACTCTTCTGATAAAACTTCTTAACATATTTTCACCTTTACAGATGAAACATTAAAGCTTAGAGAAAATTACATTACTTGTCCAAGGTCACACAACCAGCAAGGGTAGAACTAGGATTTAAATCCAAATTTGTCTGAACACAAAGCCTGAGCTTTTAACTATAGCTTGGAAATCAGGCTTGGAAATCTTAGAAAGTATTCTTAGCCCAGCACACAACATGGTATAATCTTTTATCTTCTCTGGGATTTGAGCAGGGGTATGAAAAAGGTATTGGAGTCTTCTCTGGTGAGATACTGAGACATTTTTCCCAAATCCTTTCCTTAAATCTTCTTACAGCAGAATGAGAGCCAAAATCCTTAAAAATCTTTCTATGTTGCAGTTACGTGGTAACACTGCTAACACTAACTCTTGTTCATTCCTTATGGTTAAAGGTTGTGAACAGGAATAAGCCATAGGCTGCCTACATCAAATTATGGGGGATTAAGAGAAGGCCTAGTTAATTCAAATTTGTGACTGGGGGGCAGGAATAACAAATTACATTATAACAAGATTGCCAGGTGGCTTTTACATATACTATAATTTGGTAACTACTGCCCTAAAAAGGAACAGAACAAAATTGTTGTCACTTGATATTTATTCCTTTGAAAAACTTAAAAAAAAACCAAACAGCTAAGTACAGGTTACAGATGAATAAAAATAGTCACTAAACTCATAGAGCTAACGCTTTATTAGACACTTAAAATGAGCCAGGTTCTAAACATTTTTAATGTATTATTTTAATTTTCATAAAAAATATGAAGTAGTTCTCCCTATTTTATAGCTTAAAAGAAAAAAAAAACAGAAAAGCTATTCACTGTATGAGAAGTAATTTTTCACAGGTCAGGATGGACTGCTGCAGAGTCTACAGAATTGGCAGAACCATTCAATACTGAATGGTTTTAGATTGAAAAATGAAAGTAACTCACAATGACAAAGAGAATTTCTGATTATGGGAAACAACTGTGTGGTAAAGGGGATGACATCAAAATCATTTCCTATGTTATTTTATTCAGGGTTCGTTATCTGGTCCTGCTAAAGAGCACTTGAGAAAGAGGTATAACTTCCCTGTAATCTCAGGAAGCAGCATTTAGTGAATCAAATCTTCGCTGTGTTTGCTTTTAGACCTTAAACAAGATTATTTCCTTATCTAGAAAAACAAAAAGTGTAAACTTGGGTCAGATGATCTCCAGAATTTCTTCCCAAGTACAACATAAGATCCAATGACTTTGTTAACTGAATCTGTGCCAATGACTTATTTGAAGGGTGAAACAAACCATACTATCAGCATATTCCCCACATGGAGAATAGCCTTGATGAAGACAATGGAAGTTAACACCTTGGGGCACATCTATCATCTCTGTAGGATTCTGTGGGAAGAGGAGAGTCATTTAGACTCTTAGTTGGGACTGAATTGGATTTTTCTGTATCTGTGCCTGAATCTGTGGTCCTGAAACTCCAGCCTGCTACAATCTACTCACACCTCAAGGTCAACAGTCTTGGCATTCTACCACTTACTCTCAAAGCACTTCACTTGAGCTAAAAGTAAGTAAGTTTTTGTCCTCTTCTTTCCACTTTTGTTGGATGAGATAAAGTTATTCTCTATCATGGCTGTAAATAATAATAACCCAATTTCAACATCATTTTCTTAATCTAATCCATGGTATTTAAAATTCCTAATTCCTAAAGAACTAAGAAGTTACTACTAAGAGTGGTCAATATTGTTACCCTGAGAATCCTAAAAGAACAGTTTTGAAAAAAGAGGATTTTTAGCCAATCAAAATCCCAACAGCATTTCTTGTAGAAATAGATAAAACAATCATTAAATTCATATGAAATAATAAAAGACCCAGAATAGCAAAAACAATDCTAAGCAGGAAGTGTGAATCAGGCGGGATAGCGATACCAGACTTCAAACTATACTACAGAGCAATAGTAACAAAAACAGCATGGTACTGGTACCAAAACAGGCGGGTGGACCAATG